AAAAAAAAAAAAAAAAAGTCCAGCCAGTTCCTTAGTGTCCCTGCCCCACTTTGTTTTCCTTACTCTTATTCCCATTTCCCCTATGGGTCCCTAACCCTCTTGGTTAATGGACGTGCCATTCATGTTTGTTCCTGGGTCTAGAAGAATATTTGAGCCCTATGTATGCACAAGGTCACAGGTGTGTTCCATAACCTTCTTAACCCACATTCCCCAGACCTTCCCCGAGGAAAGGCTCTCCTGGTCAGAAGGAGATTAGGGTAGCAGTTGGAAGCACTGATGCTGGAGCTTGGCTGCCTGGGTTCAGATTCCAGCTCTGCCTCTTATTAACTCCGCAATCCTGGGCTAGTTACTTAGTGTCTCTGCGCCTCAGTTTCACCAAGTAAAGTGCTTGCCTCATAGGAATGTTGTAAGGATTAAATGAGTTACATATAAACTATATGTAAAGTCTTAGAACAGTGCCTGGCAAATGGTGAACACTCTGTGTTAGCTATTATTATGGTATAATGTCCCACATTGTCCATTCTATTTTCCCCACCTTTTAATTAGCCAGGTTTAGGGGAAAGGTGGAGCGGGGGGGGGGCGGGGAAAGGGAGGGTAGCCATACTGAAAATTGTGATTCATCAGGTCTGTGTCCCTTGGTCACAAGGAGTGGGGACTGGAGGAAGGCCTGGGCTTGCTCTTTGTGTCTTTTGGCCCAACAGCTGGTAGAGAGGCCTCGGAGGAGGTTGGGGTGCGGGGGAGGGCTGGGGCCGCAGGTCAGACAGCCAGAGCTGAGAGGTTTGCTGCTAGGAAGGACTGTTGACAGGTATGCTAAGAGTGAAGTGGAAGACTGCCCCCTCTGCCCCCTCCCCCAAGTAGGGGTGAGTAGCCTGGGTCCTGTCTGCCACCCGCTTGGGGAACTTGACCTCAGGAAGGAAGCCGCTCACGCCCCCCTCCTTCCCTTCCCTTCCTAGTGCTGAAAGCTGCCTCAGGCCTGAGTCTCTCCAGACCTCTCACAGCCCAGCCCCCTGCCTGGCCCCCACCCCTCCCCCCATCAGCTCCCCAGCCTCACTGGCTCTCCTGGAGGTCCTCCCTGCCTGGCCTCTCTTCTAGCTCCTCCTCTCTGAAGCGCTGCCCCTTTGAATCTCCACCTCTCTGACCCCCGCCCCCCCCCCCCCCCCCCTGCTCCTATTGCAGGCAGGGGTGGGAGACAGTAAGGGGATAAACCCTGTCCACCAGCTTTCTTGGGAGGGGCTGTCAGTGGCAGAGTGAGGGGCATGGACTAGCCCCCTGTAAGTCAGGTGCCCACCTACTTCTAGGCAATTACCTGAGGGCCTGACACTGGTTCCCATCTTTCCCCTTCTAAGAAGACTCAGTCTCAGGAAACAAGGTTGTTACTAATGGCCACAGATACCCTGAACGGGGGGAGAAACAGAGACGGGAGAGAGAAAGAGGCAGGCCCAGGGCTCTCCTTGATTCTCCCTGTCTCTGTGAGGGAGGGAGGGATCTTGTCTCCCTATTTGTCCCCAGCCTTCAGTATTACTCTGATTCTCTCTCCTTTGCCCTGCCTCCCCAGACATAGATGAGTGCCGCTTGAACAATGGGGGCTGTGACCACATTTGCCGCAACACAGTGGGCAGCTTCGAATGCAGCTGCAAGAAGGGCTATAAGCTTCTCATCAATGAGAGGAACTGCCAGGGTGAGCAGACTTGGGCCAAGGGCAAAGCCTTTGGAGAGTTTCTCGGGATAGGAGAGCTTCAAAGAGGCCAGAGGGCCAGAGCCTGAGAAGCTCAAAGGACACTGTGGAGAGTCTCCATAGGGTGTGTTGTGCTGTGAATTAGCAAATGTGCTCCTTCCTCTGGGCAAACCAGCTCTACGCTGGGGCACATGGCTTGGCAAGAAGTGAGGGATGGATTTCACCCCAGTTCCTACCCTTGGCAGGATCTGACGAGCCTAACCACACATGGTGGCCCTGATCCATAGGCACCGGACCTCAAGAGTTCCTGACTCCAAAGACTCCAAATGGAGCGGGCTTAGGGGGTGGGTAGGCATTGCTGAATTGCTGATCTTAGGGCTGGGCCAGAGGTAGGAACTCTTTTCAGTTTAAGGGAGAGAGCCAAGGCCCCTCCCTGGGGCCCTTCACCTGAGCACGGAGTCACAGGGTCATGTGCCTCAAGACAGATTCGGCGGCTTGAAACCTTGCTCTTCCAGATATAGACGAGTGTTCCTTTGATCGAACCTGTGACCACATATGTGTCAACACACCGGGGAGCTTCCAGTGCCTCTGCCATCACGGCTACCTACTGTATGGTGTCACCCACTGTGGGGGTAAGTCAGCAAATCTGGACCCTCAGCCACCCAGCCCCTCTCAACTCCTCACCCTTCAATTGAACGAGTCCCTGAGTTGGCTGGTGGCTGTGGGCAATCCCCAGGTGCGTGTGCCATGTCTGCATTCATCATGATGAAGTGGGAGAGATTAAGACAATTGAGAGATTAGAGTATCAGGGAACAGCATCCTGTTTCCGAAACTTCTGTCTCCCATCCCCATCACTGCCTCTTGACTCCCATCCTTAGCTTCCAAATTACAGCCCCACTGGTGGGTAGGAGTGGAAGGCTTTAAAAAGCTTGTTAGCTTGGTCCCTTCTCAATCCTTCTTTTGACTGGGAACAGAGATTAGGGAAGGAGGTCCTAGGTTTGAGCTCTTCTCGGGCCGGGAATCATCTCAGAGTGCCTGGAACTCTAACCAAAGGTCCTCACTCACTGCCCACTCTCTGGCTCCTACTTCCCCCCACCCACCCCCCACCCCCTTACTGTTTGTCTGTGCCTCCCTCCTCCCTCGCCCAGATGTGGATGAGTGCAGTATCAACCGGGGAGGTTGCCGCTTTGGCTGCATCAACACTCCTGGCAGCTACCGGTGTACCTGCCCAGCAGGCCAGGGCCGGCTGCACTGGAACGGGAAGGATTGCACAGGTGGGCAGCGCCCTCTGCTGGCTGAGTCTTGAACTGCAGTTTCAGGGTGGGGGGTAGTTGGGGTCCTGGGAAATGTGGAGTTCCATACTGAGGAAGGTATGAGGTAGTAGGAGATGGAGAATGTAGCCATTTGAGATGTGAAGTTCCTGGTAAATAATCCCTTCATTCATCTCCGTGTACAGTTGCAGTTCTACATGTAGCTAATTCTCTTCCTCCTAATTACTTGACTGACGGACTGACAGAGAGGGCGGGAGAGGAAGACCCTCTCCTCCTCAGGCTTCTCTCCACTTCCTAGAGCCAGTAAAGTGTCACAGTAGTCCTGGTGCCTCGAAAGCCATGATCAGCTGCAGTCGGTCTGGGAAGAAGGACACCTGTGCCCTGAGCTGCCCCTCCTGGGCCCGGTTTTTGCCAGGTACAGGGAGGAGGTTGCTGGAGGGCTGGCAGGGGGGAAGTCTGGCTGTTTAGGCAGCTCCTCTGGTCCCCTTGGATCCCTCCAGCCAGTGGGGGTCAGGGGGCAGGTCAGAGCTGTGACAGCCCCCTTCTCTCAGAGTCTGAGAATGGCTTCACCGTGAGCTGTGGCATCCCCAGCCCCAGGGCTGCTCCAGGCCGAGCTGGCCACACTGGGAACAGCACAAACTCCAACCACTGCCATGGTGAGCACCAGCCCAGAGGCCTTGTTCCATGCTACTCCCTGGCTTATTAACCCCTATTTCTCTTCCTTATTAATCCTCCTGGCCTTACTTTTTCCTGGATCCCCTTCTTTCCTCTGTAATTCTCCAGCCCTGCTGGAGAACAGCCGATGCCCTTGGCTATCGTAGTCCCTCTCCTCCAGCCAAGCCGCTGGCCCCAGCTTCCCAACATCCTCTATAGCAGCCCCCACCCTCAAGGGACCCCCAGGCTGTGCTGAGCTCTGCCATCCCTCTAGAGGCTGCAGTGCTGACGGTTAAACAGCGGGCTTCCTTCAAGATCAAAGATGCCAAATGCCGTTTGCACCTGAGAAACAAAGGCAAAACGGAGGAGGCCAGCAGAATCCTGGGGCCAGGTCTGGACTGGGGACCCCACTCCAATGGGCTATCTGGCCACCAAACCCTTCCCACCCCTCAGCTCTTCTGCTTAGTGGGATCTCCAAAAACCCACTGGCACCCTGAATTCTGGACAGAACAGGGGAAGAAACAGTTGTAGGCATAGGGTCCAAGGAAGTCCTAGGATATCCCCCCCACCAACTGATTAGCATCTTAGACTACAAGAGAATTGAGATAGTTAGAGTCAGAGATCTGGTGAGATCTGTCTGAGTTGGGGTGGAAAAGTGAGAGCTGGGAGTAAGAACATTCCCTGTCTCCAGGGGGTGCCCCTGAGGTTGACAAGGCCTCTCCCCCAGGTGGTGCCCCCTGCTCTGACTGCCAGGTCACCTTCATCCACCTCAAGTGTGACTCCTCTCGGAAGGGCAAGGGCCGGCGGGCCCGGACCCCTCCAGGCAAGGAAGTCACTCGGCTCACCCTGGAACTGGAGGCAGAAGTCAGAGCCGAAGAAACCACAGGTGGGACTTGGGACACCGTTGGGAGGAGGGTGGAAAGGGGAGGGCAGAGATGGGCAAACAGCTGTGAAGGAAGGGGCAGAGCCTGTATTAAGGGCAGACCCTGCCTAAGGCCAAGCCCAGGAGCCAGTCCCTCTCACCACGACCCTCCTAGCTCCTAGCTTTGCTTCCTTGCCCTCCTGCTCACAGGGAGGAGGGACTCTTTCTTTCTTTTCCTTCTCTTTCTTTCTCTTCCTTCTCTGACTCATAACACCATCCCCCACCAGCTGGCTGTGGGCTACCCTGCCTCCGACAGCGGATGGAACGGCGGCTGAAAGGGTCCCTGAAGATGCTTAGAAAGTCCATCAACCAGGACCGCTTCCTACTGCGCCTGGCAGGCCTTGATTATGAGCTGGCCCACAAACCAGGCCCAGTAGCTGGGGAGCGAGCGGAACCAGTGGAGGCCTGTAGGCCCGGGCAGCACCGCTCTGGGGCCAAGTGTGGTAAGGGAGCTTGCTGGGGAACAGGGGAGCGGGGTAGTAGGGAAGGCTCAGCTTGGGTCTGGTTCAGAGCAGGACACTTTACGGCCTCGGTTGCATCTCTCAAACTGTGAGGCAGCCAAGACACTCCTGCCCATCATCACCCCCTCCTTGGTCCCAGGCTGAAATCTAGAGGGACATCATGTCGGGCCACCAACCCTCCTGCACATGGCTTTGGCCCCTGATCCTCCCAAGCAGGATTCTGTCTGTTCCCAGACAAAGAGATTCTCCTTGAATCTGGGGGGAGAGGGAAGGGGAGTCCCAGACCTGGGTGGTGGGAAATAGGTGGGGGGTGGGTGGCTAGCGCGGCCGACTCTCCCTCAGTCAGCTGCCCGCAGGGAACGTATTACCACGGCCAGACGGAGCAGTGTGTACCATGCCCGGCGGGCACCTTCCAGGAGAGAGAAGGGCAGCTCTCCTGCGACCTTTGCCCTGGGAGTGATGCCCACGGGCCTCTCGGAGCCACCAACGTCACCACATGTGCAGGTGCCAGGGGAACAAACAATACAGAGTGGGGTAGGGTGGGCACTGGGACGCCCATGGGCATGGGATTTCCCAAGGCAGGCCCAGGCCCCAGGCCACTCTCCTAGTCAACATCCTGTTTGTGTGTGCCTCTGTCCCCTGAGACTGGGTGACCCCGTGGGGATGACCAGGAACATCCCCATCAGAGTTGGGCCCTCGGTTTACTGCAGGTCAGTGCTCACCTGGCCAACACTCTGTAGATGGCTTCAAGCCCTGCCAGCCATGTCCACGTGGCACCTACCAACCTGAAGCAGGACGGACCCTGTGCTTCCCGTGCGGTGGGAGCCTCACCACCAAGCACGAGGGAGCCGCCTCCTTCCAAGACTGTGACACTAAAGGTGAGTGGGCTACTCCCCCCGGTACAGGACCCCAACCCCAGCTACTTCCAAAAAACTCTCCAAGTCCCCAGAGTAGACCCAAGTATGTTGCCCTACCATCTTCCCCAAACCGGGAAAGGCCCAGCTGCATGACCAACCCCCGCATCCTACTCATAGGACCCGTCCTGACCCTCCACCAGTCCCAAGCGTGGGAATTGGGGAATAGCTAACAGTTCTACTTACCCCTCTGCTTTGGAAAGCTGGTGTCACCTTCCCCTCTATACAACAAATGAGTTTCTGTACAGGTTTGCGACTGTGCTCAGTGCCTTGAAAGAACAGGATTGGTGCTGTAGCCAACCACTCTGTCAAGTTCGTTTTCGCCTGAGCTTAAATTCTGGCCTGACTAGGGAAGGTTGGGACTCTAGAAGGAACTCTGATGTCTTCATTCACTCTCTATGACGATGTGTCCTGCCCCAGAACTCCCGCTTGCCTGCCATCTTAAATCCTACCCTTCCCCCTTGCCTGCAGTCCAGTGCTCCCCTGGGCACTACTACAACACCAGCATCCATCGCTGTATCCGCTGTGCCATGGGCTCCTATCAGCCCGACTTCCGTCAGAACTTCTGCACCCGCTGTCCAGGAAACACAAGCACTGACTTTGATGGCTCCACCAGTGTGGCCCAGTGCAAGAGTATGTGTCAGGCCAGGCTGTGGAAAAAGGGGTGGAGAGGCCTGGGAGCAGTGGGCATGGGAGGAAGCCGGAGGTGGGCAGGGAGTAAACCAACAGGGAGCAGGGCTGGGCAGTGGATGGGCAGGAAAGTCCCACCCTCCATCTCTCCCCAACCCACTCAACCTCAAGACGGGTTGCTGGGCTGGGCCCTGTAGCACCCTCTCCCTGGAGAGGAGGGAGGCAGGTAGTGGGGAGGCAGGGACAGGTAAAGTGAGATTAGAAGGTACTAAAAGGGCAGGAAGGAAGGGAGACCCAGAACTTGGAGAAGAGATGATGACTAAGAAGGAGGCTCCCTACGTGTATCTGATTTCCACTTCAGAACTCTTCAATTTCCCCAACCTATTTCCCCACTGACTTCCCTTCTCTTTCTTGCTTTGTCCACCGGGGCTTGGCCTACAGATCGCCAGTGTGGTGGGGAGCTGGGTGAGTTCACTGGCTATATCGAGTCTCCCAACTACCCAGGCAACTACCCAGCCGGCGTGGAGTGCGTCTGGAACATCAACCCCCCACCCAAGCGCAAGATTCTTATCGTGGTACCCGAGATCTTCCTGCCGTCTGAGGACGAGTGTGGGGACGTCCTCGTCATGAGAAAGAACTGTGGGTGGCTGCAGAGTTGGGCCAGGGAAGGGCAGTCCAAATCTGGTTGGGAGGGAGAGAGAGAGAAAAAAATTGGTGCTGGAAGAATTGGGGCAATGATGAGGGAGGCCTCGGAGCAAAGGAAAACAGCAATGAATGCTACATGTTCGGTGGAGAGCAGAGTTAAGAAAGCCAGCTTTGGGAGCAGAATTCCAATAGTCTTACATGTGTCACTTTCCTATTCTAGTATTTTATTTTATTTTATTTTATTTTATTTTTTTTGCGGTACGCGGGCCTCTCACTGTTGTGGCCTTTCCCGTTGTGGAGCACAGGCTCCAGACGCGCAGGCCCAGCGGCCATGGCTCACGGGCCCAGCCGCTCCGTGGTATGTGGGATCCTCCCGGACCAGGGCACGAACCCATGTCCCCCGCATTGGCAGGCGGACTCTCAACCACTGTGCCACCAGGGAAGCCCATATTCTAGTATTTTTACTGTTCCATTCACTTAAATGTCAAATTTCTTACACTGTGTGACTGCCTGGATGTCAAAGAGGAATTGTGGAACAAGCCCAGGGCATTGAGAGAGAATATGTGTATGCTGGAGGGTAGGGGAGCTACATACATGAGGGGGGGCCTCTGTCAGCATGATTCCTCACTCTAGGAGGACTTGGAGAGCTTGCCCTGCTCTCTCCTGACCTGCTGCTTGCCTTCCCAGCCTCCCCATCCTCCATTACCACCTATGAGACCTGCCAGACCTACGAGCGCCCCATCGCCTTCACAGCCCGCTCCAGGAAGCTCTGGATCAACTTCAAGACAAGTGAGGCCAACAGCGCCCGTGGCTTCCAGATTCCCTATGTTACCTATGATGGTGAGCAAGGGCAGAAGAGCCAGGGAAGTGGGTGAGAAAGGGGAGGCTCATGGGTGTTGGAGGGAGCAAGGAAGCAGGAGGAGTTCCCACCCCTGAGCCCCTCTCCTTCGCTGACCTTGCAGAGGACTATGAACAGCTGGTTGAAGACATTGTGCGAGACGGCCGGCTCTATGCATCTGAAAACCACCAGGAGATTTTGAAGGTGAGTGAATATGAACAGTAACGATGGCCAGTGTTTAACGAGCACGTAGCAATGTGCAGGCAATATGCTAAGTGCTGACTTGAATATCCTCATTTGATTTACACAGTAGCTCTATGAACTAGGTGCTTCCATCATTCCCACTTTACCGATGAGAAAACTGAGGCACAGAGAGTTAGAGCACTTGCCCAGTGGTAAAGCTGGGATTTGAGCCCAAGCCCGTCTGACTGCAGTGTCACTCACACTGTCTTACACTCTGGGTGAAGAGGAAGGGAGGATGAGGAGATGAACTGTCCTTGACCTCTTCCACCAAGACACATACGGAAAATGTGGTTTAGAAAGATGCTTTTGCATAAGTCCCTGCCTTCCCTTACTCCCTCCTCAGTTCCCACAGAAAAACAGCAGATCTAGTACAGCGTTTCTCAGAGTTAATTCGGTATAGACCTCTTTTAAAGGAAAAGGAATGTTTCCAACATTGAAGGATGGTCTGGATACCTAGGTCTGTGGATCCCAGTTTGAGAAAATCTTACTAAAGAAACTATATAGTCCTAGTCACAGTATTATCCTTCATACATTATCCATGCAAAAAAGTTATCTTTACGATAAATAAAATAATTTTTGTATTATTATCAAAATGAGACACAATGACAAAAATCTAGAACTTGCAGACTGCAAAGAGTATAATTTCAGCAATGCTTTTCAAAAATTTTTAGAGCATCTGACTCCTTATATCAAATGTGCTGTGGAACTCCAATGCATAAAGTAGAGGCACCATTTTGATTAAAGTGGAGATGAGAGGCTGGAAGCTCCACCCCTTGTTTTAAAAATCTGCTGATGCAATGGAAAGAACACTAGCCTAGAAGCCAGAAGAGCTGAGTCCTAATGCACAGTGCTTGGCACCCTGTAGGCTCTCCACACATCATGTTGCTGTTTCAGACAGGGTGATCAGGGAAGGCCTCTGAGGAGAAGAGACCTGAAGGAGGTGAAAGGCTACCCATTAGAAGATCAGGAGAGGAGCATTCCAAGCTCAGGAGCATGGGAGCCATGTGGCATGTTCAAGAACCTTGAGGCCAGTGCAGCTCAGCAGAGTAAGGAAGAGTCAAGACGGGGATAGAGGAGAGACAGCAGGGCACAGATCACATTCAGCCTATGGGCCATGAAAGGGATTCAGCTTTACTGAGTGATAAAAGAAACCAGACTCAAGAGGGAGGGGATATGGGGATATATGTATACATATAGCTGATTCATTTTGTTGTACAGCAGAAACTAACACAACATTGTAAAGCAATTATACTCCAATAAAGATATAAAAGATAAATTAAAAAAAAAAAACAAACCAGAGAAGTGTTTAGAAAAGAAGAAGGACGTGATCTAATTAAAAACCAAAAAAGTCATTCTGGCTGCTGTGGGGGAGAACAGTCTGTAGAAGGACAAGGGTAGGTAGAAGCATGGAGACCAGTTAGGAGGCCATTGCCAAGTGAGAGATGATGGTGGCTTGGACAGGGTGGTAGCTCTGGAGACAGTGAGAAGTGGTCTGACCCTGGATATATTTTAAAGGTAGAATCAACAGGATTTGCTGTGGTTGTGAGCAAGAGAGAGGGGTCAAGGATGGCTCCAAGGACTGGGACTGAGCGATGGAAGGATGGAGCTGCCACTGACTGAGTTGTAGAATTCCAAAGGAGCAACAGATGGGGGGATGGGAATCCAGAGTTCACTTCTGGATATGCCTATTAGACATCAAGAGGGGCTGCTGCTGAGTGGAGGCTGGTGGTCCTCTCTCCCGCCACTGACACTGATGCTGACATTGCTACCTGCCATCCTCTGCAGGACAAGAAGCTCATTAAGGCCTTCTTCGAGGTGCTGGCCCACCCCCAGAACTACTTCAAGTACACAGAGAAGCACAAGGAGATGCTGCCCAAATCCTTCATCAAGCTGCTCCGCTCCAAAGTTTCCAGCTTCCTGAGGCCCTATAAATAGTGCCGCTAGGCCCAAGACCCAGGTTTTGAAGCCCCCAGACTCTTTAGCCCTCAGAGCCGGCAGCCCCCACCCTCAGATGAGGGACTCTCTCCGATCTCTCTTTTTGGAGAAAAAAAAATCTCCACATAGACCAAGCACTCTCCCTTTCCATTCCTCTAGCTTCCTTTCCTTGTCTCTTTCTGCCTCGCTCTTTCTCTTTACTCATTTCCTATATGCTCCCTGGAAAAGCCATTCAGTGCTGGCTCTGTTCTCCCGAGGGGTGAAGGAACAGTATCCTGCTCCCCTCCCCAGCCACACTGCCCATTTTACCAGCTCACATCCCTGACCCTATCAGCTTGGAAGGGTGCTAGAGGCCCACGAAGGAAGTGGGTCTAGTGGGGAATGGGGAGGGGGAAGAGGGGCTTCTGCCGTTATAGGTTGTGCCTTGCTAGACAGGAGCCAAAATGTCCCCTGGCTGTGCCCCCCAGGAATATTCTAACAGCCCAGGGTTCTGCCAAAGAAGCCTTTGACTTACAGGCTTAATGCCAGCACTCGTCCTCTGGGACACGTGGTTTGAGCCCTGGACTGCCCACACAGCCAGCTTTCCTGTCTACACAGCTCCTCTCCTTCTTCGCTCACAACTGCCTGGGGTCCAATTCATGAGGGCTTACAAAAGGCCCACACCACTGGCTAGTGGACACCAGCTGACTGAGGAAGAGCAGCAGGAATTACCGTGTTGAATAGGCGGCTGCTGCTCCCCAAGAGAAAGACTTTATCTCTGCAGGACAGAAACCAGGTTTTAAAGCATCGGCAAAAAAAGAAAACGGAAAAAGAAAGAAAATGTGTCCTCTAAAGGACTAGACTACAGAACAATTGGAAGCCAGCCTCAAACACTAATCCCTTTTCTTACTTGTCTTCCCTGGCCCAGCCATTCCCTCACTCCCACCTGAGTGCTCCCTGGGGGAGCCCTACTCCCCTTGCTAAGTATTGTCCTTAAAGAAACATGGCTGCTGACCAAAAGCCAGCTTGGGCCTTGCCCCCAGAGTTATCTTTCCCTTGTAGTCCCAGATGGCTTGTGGGCCCCACCAAAGAGGACCCCGCTCTGCAGCCAGCCCAGAGCCACCTACCTCTGGCCCCAGGCCGTGGGCAGCAAGAGGAATGTGTGCACTTGGCGAGCCTTCTGCCATCCTGTCCACATCTAATAAGTGCAATCGTTTTGAGTCTTTCTGTGTTGACTAGAGGGAGGGGTTTTTGTTTTCTGGTTTTGTTTTTTGTTTTTGTTTCTTTTTCCTCTATTAGAACAACCCTATTTATAGCTGCCTAAGAGAGAAGAGTGTATGTTTGGAGTGGAAGAAAAAGGTTTTGAATCTCATGAGCCTTGAGCGCTGGAGCATCTGATCTGTCTCTACTCCCCCAGCAGAGGCACCTGATATGTAGGATATGTAATTCTGGGGACTTGATGGAGCGGGAAGAAGAGGGACCTGTGTTTGCTAAACCAATCCCACCATCCCTGTGCCTCCATGAATTCAGCATGGACCTCAAGACTGTAGAGGCCGATGGAATTGGCTAGTGATTCTCCACCCCAAGTAGGGAAAACCTCCATCGTTTCCCTGCTTTCATCCAGCTTTCCCCTGATGTGCACATGGAAGAAGACCAGGACAAACCCCCTGGGGATAGGCCGACTCAGGGCCCTGAGGCCAGAGACAAGGCTGTGGGAGCCAAGAATAGGACAGTTATCCAGGCATGGAGTTGTTTGCCTGACGTTGGCCATTCTGCCTACCCCTGTTTGCCATTTCCTCTTGGAGCTGACTTCAAGCCTAGCTTCCTCAACTACTGCTTTTCAAAAGGAAGAAGAATCAAGTCCATGCCCAAGTCCAGATCCTGCACATACTCCACCTTCAATCCACTGCTGCCTATAAAATTATTTTCCATTTGCTCCTTCTAGTTCCCCCAAAGCTGTAGCCCTATTCAATCAAAGGCTAACGGTTGACTCCTAGGGCTCACTTCTAATGACTGTCTCAGGCTATTGCTCCCCAAGGAGGCTCAACACTAAATAAAGGAGCCGGACACCCCCCCAATCAGTAGCATTCACCAACCGAAACAGCCTTAGGCAGTAGGTAACCAATGTCACAACTAGATCCCCTGACATCCATTAGCCAACACCATGGCCCTTGGGGATAGAGTGTCTGGCTGCCTTTGTGTCTCTGGGTCAAAGAAGGCTCTGCTGTAGAGATACAAAACAGCTGCTTCCAAGCAGCGGAATGGTCATTTAATAGAAGTATCCACACTTCCCAGGAGATGCCATGAAAACTGCTTTAATCAACTTTGACCATCCTCATTCTCCACCAGAAGCTAGGATAACTTTCTGATTCCTCTCTCCCTACCATTTTGCATCTCTCTCAGAAAGCCAAACAGTCAGAGTGCTTCCCAGTTCATGCCTTCAGGGTCTGACTTCTTGCTCTCCATTCCTTTCCTGTCACCCTCATACACACACATAAACACACTTCCTCTAACCATTAATTCCATGGTTTCCGGGGCTTGCAAATTATTTCCACAGTATGGAAAGTAGAGACCACCAAGCTTCTTAACTAATGTCAAGACAGATCTTGGAGAGCAGGTGAAGACCTGCTAATGTCCACCAAGTTTAATTTAGGTCGTCCAAGTTGCGAGTTAAGAACCCAGGCAAAGCTGCTCCTAAACCTGCAGAGGAAGCTGGCCCAGGGGCATCAAACTAAGGGTTAGTGGATTGAGGAGTCAACATTCAGGGACTCTCTAGGCCTTTACAGGTCAGACAGAAAAAGAGGTTTTTACCACTGTAGGGAAGTGGGAAGATGGTATAAATGGGAACCCTTCATGAACTAGCCAAGAGGCCTCTCTGCAGGATGAGGTATTCGTAGGGCCGCAGTACTGCGAGGCCTCATTTTTCTTAGTACAAAACCTGCCCTGATCTGAGTCTGGGAATGGGAAGCCATTCCTGCAAGGGCTGCAAGCGCCAAGTGATGCATATCAGAAAGGCACTTATGTCTTCAGCAACGTGGCAATCTCTTTTTACTTCTCTGCCTCTGTCTTTCTGTATTATTGGGCCAGGCCCATTCCCTAAACCTTAGAGAACAAAGTCAGGACAAAACTGACCAGAGCCTGGACTTGAACTGCCCTGCCCCAGGCCTACAAATTCCCAGAGGTTGACATTGAGCAGTGACTGCTCAGACTCTGCCAGGATTGGATTAATTTGAGGTGGTGGAGGCTCAGATTTATTGCTGAAAGTTCAGTAGTACAGTCCTGGTCTTTAGTCCTAATGAAAGTTTTCATATCCAGGAAGTTTTCTCCATATGCATGTTTGAGGTGACTGTGGAGATTAGGGGGCCATATCTCAAATGTCAGAAAATATTATAGAGCGTTCAGACTTCTGTATTTGCTGCTTAACCTCAATATAACAGGCTCAAACTAGAGGAAGGGAGACAAAGTATAACTGACCACAAGCAGAAAATAATGTTAACCTGCTTGGCTTCTCTCCTAAGCACTGTAAGAGAAAAGTGGAAGCCAACAACACAAGGATACCTTTAAATTTGACTTGTCTCAAAGGTAGCCCACTCTGTCCTTGGGCCATTACTTGGACTAGGAACCCTCTACAAAAATATATGATAAGAGGGAATATAACCCCCAGTTCTTTTATCAGCTTATCTAGACAACACAGATTGTAACAGTTTGGACAAACCAAAAACTTTACTCTTCTGTGTGAGTCGAACTTAAGTTTCAGAGAATAACCATTGCCGTGTGGGAGGCTTTTTTTTTTTAATGCAAAAGAAATCTCAAAATATTGTATTTATATCTACCTTCCACTGCTGCCGATATAGTAAGCATCTACTACACAACAATAAATGATGCAGTTCATAGAGTATTTTGCACTTGGGGGAAAAAATGTATCTGAACTTGTAAAAAGAAATGTTTGGATTTTGTATTGTCTTTTTTTATTATTATTATTAAAATACTAAATGAAACTTCTCAGCCTGGCATCTTTTCCTCTCTCAATGGCTTACCCTAGAGCTGGAAAAAAGCTCTGAGGAGACAAAGTGTCTTCTTGCTTCCAGATAGGACTTACCCCAATTTTTCATTTATCCATCTTATTCCTAATGATTTTAGAATTTGAAAAGGCTTGTCTGTTTTAAAAAGCAGTATCAAGAATTATCCCGAGTGGGGGAAATTTGGGGTATCGTTGCTTATCATAGTACAGTCCCCAAAATCTAGCCAGGCCACAGGTGGTTAAGATACTTCCCTAGTAAAGATGTCCCATCTCTAGCAAAGTACCAGCACTGAGATTCACCAACGTTGTTCTTTTTATGCAGTACATTCTTGGCCGCCAAACAGAATTCTGAAATGGAGATCATTCAGCCACTACCACCATTACTATACAGGTCTCGGGAATGCAACCTCTAACCCCTTATAAATGAACAGTAGCCATTTCTAGGCTCAGAGATGATAGATAAAACTTAATTGTTGTAATTACATAATTCCCTGACGTGACATTTTATTGGATTTAATAGCTACATGATATAGCCCTTTAAGTGGAACAAGGAAAAATCTACCTGATCAAAACATATGTTGGGTTAGCCTACCAGAATCCTGAACTTCCCCATCAGCATCTATAAAGGAGACAGGTGCATTCTATTCCACAATTGCTGAGCTCCTGTTACATGCCAGGCATCGCGCATCAGGCCATCACAGCTTGATAGCAATAGCCATGCTCAAGATCCGCACTCCTCATGTAAGACTGATTACAACTGACCTTTCTACATAGATTTCCCAGCAGGAGAGGGAATCCAGTCAACTTGGTGATTATGAGTATAAATTAATTCACTGACATTCTATTTCATACATTAACTTCTGTGAGTTTGATTCAGTGTGACAAAATATGAACACCTTTGTGTGGACTGACAAAAATCACATTTCTAGAACTGCAAAGCTGAGGACCATATCCAGGACCATGGTGAGTGACTATACCAACTTGGGGCCATCTTCTCTGACTTCTCTCCTAACCCTCTTCTATTCCAAAAACACCAAGTCTTCCTCCTTCTTTCTAGGACACTTGCAATTATGTCCCA